TTGCATTGTGGGAAATGTAGGATATAGAATATTACATAGATAGACATAGATAGTTCCTATCCTTTTAGCTGTGTCAGTGACCTGTGATTGAACATGAGTTGTGAGTGAACCATTCAAACAAGAGGCGTTGTTATTTTCTTATGAAGAGTTAAGTACATTTTAAATATAAATCCCCAAATCACACATCAAAGGGTAAAAATATTCAGTATTTCATACAAAAAATCCTTTTTAATCATCTCAGATTTTGGATAGAGAGATAGAGCAATATGGAACCAACTTACCCAAATCTGCATATGATGGCGCCTTGTTGCCAGAGCCGCACCAGAGAGTCCCTGGTACAATGAAACCGCGCTTTACACGATGATGGGCCCTGACCTCTGACCTTTCAGCTTGACCTTGATGATTCACAGCCGATGAACCGGCCGCGCTGAGCCCACCGACGCTCCTCGCCAGCCTCTTCCCTGTGCGCTCCCGGTGCCCGTCGACACCCGGAGAGGCCACAGGGACGCACAGATCCTCTGCCTCAAACATGGATTCCGGATCGAAATTCTCATCTGGATCTTTGGGAAACTCGTGCCCGCGCTCGTGGCACAGAGACAAATAGTTCTGGATAACCGCTGCGTCCTCGCTCCAAGCGCAGCTGAGCGGAGCGCGCTCCCCGGACCAGGAGCTGTGGTAGAACCGCAGAGATGGAGGAGCCTGCAGGGGGTCGCCCCGGAGGAAAAAGTAGTGCACTTCTCCGTTTCGCAAAACTTTTGCCCAGGTGCAGAAGAGCGAGGCTTCTGCAGGCGTCCATCTCAGGAGTGATGATGTTAAAATGACAGCGACGAGATTAGCGACGTGCGTCATGGTGGCGCGTCGGGAACAGCGGCTGGATGAAAGAGGCTGCTTCCCCGTCAGTATAAAACTAATTATTGCTTCAGTCACTGAGGAGTTTGTGCCAGACTGACACACTTCAGGTTGGCTTTAAATGGGGAAAGGGGGGAGGCGCGTAGGGGGTTTAAGGTGGATCCAAAATAAACGCAACATCCAAATCAGCCTGAATCATGTGACCTGTCAGAGTAGTTAAACATCAGTCTCTCTCTCTCTCTCTCCCACATCAGTGACAGTGACCATGACATATTGATCAACACGCGCACACCCACACGAGCCAAATAGCTTTATCAATCTGCAAATGTGACTAATACAGGGTATTGATAAGTGACAGACCCAGTAAAAAGACACTTTAGTAAAAAATGTGACAAACTAATCGATTTTTATTGATTGATAAATAGGATGTGAGACAAATATCCAACTACTTTCTTTCCCCCATTTCGTTTTCAGTAGTTTATTCTCACTTTCTACCATTGATGATGAGATTTATTTTTATTTCAAGACCATGTGCCCTTCACATAGCCCTCAGTTCCCAGTAAACAGTACAATGTTAATCCTAACAGCATATCTGAATAAAATAAGTAAGTTTATATAATTTAATCCTTCAAAATGTTGAAGTCACTTATTCCCATGACTTAAACCTAACTCAAAAAATAATACTTTAAGTATTGATTATATAATTCCAGCTCATTTTCTTTAATCTGACTTTATTTCATTACAAAAATTAATTATTAATTGATTAAGTAATGTGATAATTTTGCTTTAGTGGAAGAAA